TAAGACCCACATCCCTGGAATGTGGCTCTGCCTCTGTGAGTGCCTCTGAAACACATCCGAGGAACCAAAGAGAGCTCAGCCCTTGGAACAAGCACTGACTTCCATCACAAGATGCAGCCCAGCCTAAAACAGGCAGAAATTAGTGGGAAGTGAGTTTTATATTCTAAATATAGGTTGTGCTGCTCTTCACAGTGGAAAGCAGCTTCACAGTAGCTGGTTTTGAAGCACAACTGACTAATTGTTATTGAGCTAATCAGCATCCCTCACGCGGCATTCCTGATGGCACCAGGCTCTGCTGCTGGGGAAGCTCTGATCCTCCCACTGCTCCCTCCCAGACTCTGTCAGAAAATGCCAGTAAACACTGAACATCCTTCTCTCATGCCACTTTTCCTTCATGCAAGGAGTGACTGCAGACATCTGCACGTCCACCTTTTTCGTCATTCCTGGGAAGAACCATCCTCACATTTCTTCTCCAAGCCTGTACTGCAGGAAAACCCCTCTTTGCCTGTTCTGCTGATCAGTCTCACTGCTTTATCTGGTGCCCTTCTGTTTTTGTGTTGTGTTTGGCTTTAGAATCCACTAAACTATTGCTTATCTACACTGTGACTTGAAGGCAGTGGCTGCAGCTGAAGAAGCAGCAATCTCCATGTCTCTGCAGGGATATAACTTCAATACAGCAAGGATGGTTTAGATTAAGCATCAAAAAGAATAATATGAGAGTTATTTTGTTAATGTTCTATAATAGATATCCCTATTTTGTTTCTTTTTATTTTTAAAGTATGGGTATTACACAAACCCCTATTTTAAGAGCTGCTAAAGTAGAGAGGTGCTGGCAGAGTTTGTGTGGGAATGGCAGCACAGTCTGGAAAGAAGTCAGTGATTGAGATTACATGAAAATCTGACCAGCAAGCTGATCCCAGTGTGACCCAGGAGGATGATGTCTGAGTCCTCTCCAAACCCTTTTAGCCCTATTTTCCATGACTGTGTGTGCCAGGAATCAAGTGTGTAAACTTTGAAAACTCAGGTGTGCAAGATTTCACCATCAGCACACCCTGAACTGAACACTGCTGTCCCTTGTTTTTAATCACTAGGTGGGGAAAATTACAGCTGATACTCAGAACATGCTGCAACCATCCCTCCATTGTAATGAGGAGACAGATTAGAGGATTTTGGGGCCTGGAGCTGTGTCTTTGTTCTGTGTTTATGCAGCACATTGTGCAATGAGATTCTCTAGGTCTAACACCAAAATGGCCTCTAGGTGCTAACACCAAAATGCAAACATATTGATTACTAGGGAAGAAAGGCAGGCATGTTCTCCAAGTCATGCTTTGAAGAACTTGGGGGAAACACTTGCTAGATAGAAAAGGATCAGTGGTCTTTACAAAACAGAAATTTGCTTGGGATTGTTTGGGATCAAGCTGATGGACAGAAAATCTTTCAGTCTCTTTCACTGCATTTTTCTCTTCATTTTTGGCCTGAATCTTTACTTAAATGGCATGTGAGTATCAGGAAATCTTGTCCCAAACTTGTCTGTAAGTTTCCTGCCAGTGACACTGCCACTGCAGAAACAATTAGAAAACCAGTAGAGGAGAAATCCTCTGCTGCCCAGAAACTGGAGCAGATATAAGAGCAGTGAGGAATCCTTCACAAAACCAGTTATCAAGTTTGCCCAATGAATCACAAGGATTTGTAGCCTACCTGTGCCACAGAGCACCGTGGTGATTGTCACTGGGAAAAGGAATAGTAGCTCCGTATTGATGGAAAGCTCTGGGTGCCACACAGCCCAGAGAACAAATATCCCAAGTGAGAAAAGCTGAGGTGAACCTTCTGCAGAGCACAGAGCTCTGGAGCAGGGAGGCCACTGGGGATTTCAAGCACCTTCTCTTTAAAGGTTAGAAGCATTTGCAAGCTCAAATTGCCTGCAGTGAGAGCAGAGGCTGCTCAGTGCAGCTGGGAAATGAGGGCAGTGATATGTTTAAATGTGGATTTAGATGTGTAACTTTATTTATGGGCTCGTTTTGACACTCTCACCACGTTTCTGGATAGATTTGTTGTCTTTACATGATCCTGCCAACAGCAGCCCAGCCCATATTTGTTGCTATTTGTTACTAATTACTACACAACCTGCTCAGTCTTTCTCCTTAGGTTTTGGCTGAGAGTGAGTTTCAAGGAGACAATCTCAAAGGTAAATTGAAATCAGATAAGAAAAGAAATGTTTACAAATATCTGCATGAGATTCCAAGGCAGGATACGTGCGCAGAATTTTACTTCATGAGTACACAGATGTTTTTTTCAGGGAAAGTGAAATGCTTTCCACCTGCCAAGAGCTGTGTTTGGACCCTCAGGGGTCTGTGTCGCTCCTGCTATAGTTGATAATGTCACTAACACCTAAAGCAGTGTGAGGTATGTAGCTTTAACCTTGCTTTTTATGTATTTGAGATTTCAGCAGCCGTGAAAAATCCCGAGCTCAGTAATCTTGAAGTGCATTCCTAGAAGGTAAAAAGCCTTTTGAATTCACCTTTAAAATGCACTTGCTGTTATTGGCACAAGCTATCCATATATTCAGGGAATGGTTTGGGGTTGCAAACAGGTGGGGTCTTCAGGGATGTGTTTCCTTCTTTTTGAAGTATTTCACTTCACCTTTAATGGAACGTGTTCCTGCACAGAGCCACATCAAGCGTCAGCAGCACTCTTCTGCTGTCCCTCGCTGTCAACAAGAAATCTGTGCTTAGAGGAGGGGGGACACATCAGCCTTTGAAAGTTGAACAGAGGGACAGACTCACAGGGCACAAAACCAAACAATTTGCATCTTGTGGAGGCTCTGGAGTAGTGAAGAGAAATGTCTTTTTCCACACTTTTTTGTCGTTCCTCCCATCAGATTTTTCTCCGCCGTGCCAGCAGAAGTGCAGCTGCAGCAGCGAGTGTGTTGGTGCAGAGTTATCACTGGCAGGTTTTAACCACTGTGTTTCTTAGATGTGCTGCATGAAGGGGTTGAGGAAAAGCAATGTTTTTCTGGCAGTGGGTTGTACACACCGTCTCCTCTGATGGTCGCGTCTCAGAAGCAGTATTTGTTCCAGGCTGCCACATGGCATCCAAAGAAAAATGCTCTTGTAGATGTTGCTTCAGACCCAAGTGCTGAGAGCACTGTGAAGCTGTCAGCTGAGGACAGACAGTGGTGTCACTCCTTAGAAAGGAAATACACTGCTAAAAGGACCCATTTCCTCTGTGATTGTACACGTTCCTGTTTCCCTGAGCGTGTCATCCTGGCAGATCTCTGGCATGTGTTTTCATCTTTGCTTTTTGTGATCAGTTTCGCCTCATGCTATGGTTTGTGCTGTGAAATTCTCAAAATCTTGAGGCTTTTGGTCCCTAGCAGCGCTGCCTTGCACTGAGGGCATCCAGCCAAGCAATGAGCACAGAAGGCAGGGCAATAATTAGACAAGTGCACCCTCGTGACCAAGCTAGGGTTTACTGATGGTCACTGTCACCTCATGTATTCACTGTCCAGCCAAAAAGAAAACAAAAAAACCCACAATAAATAAATAGTTTTAACCAAACCCTCAGATAAAGGCTATTTTCAATTTTACCTTTCGCGTTTTAATTGTATAGCAATAATTTTGCAATAGAGTTGCCGATGGCAAACATGCAAAAGACATTAACTTTATTTATGTTTTGGATTATTAATGTGGCTGTTAAAATTCCTCCAGTTAGTTTTGATTGAATTGTTTTTTTGTGCGATTCTGTCGTTTAATGGAGCGGTAAATAAGAATTTCTGATAATGAGCCCAAGCATCTGTCACAACAACCTGGCGCTGGTTATTAACATTTCCATTAACGGCAGGGTGGGCAGTGATAATATGGAAACCACACAGTTAGAACAAAATAAATAGTTGGTGTCAGGCTGAGTGGGTGTTAATTACTTTTTTATTTTATAACTCTGGGGGGAGGGAGTATTGGTAGAAAAGTGTGACTTATGAAGGTCATTCTCTCTTAAGAAGGAAGTCTCCAGAGGAGCAGCTAACCGGCGCTATCCAGTGCAAGCGGTGAATATTTTATCACTTCTATTTATGGCCCAGAAAGGGGCAGAGAGAAAAGAGACAACTTTCTCAGGGGGTCTGGCAGAAGGCTATGGCACTGTGAACACAGAGAAAGGAGAAGTGGAGCCTTTGTCCTGCCTTTCTCTCCCCACTTCTGCAGTTTGAGCAGGACACGCTTCAGCTCCTTTCCTGTGAACGGAACAGGAGCTGTTTTGTTAAAACCTGCCGGAGGCTCAGACAGCAGGCTGGGAGAACAGAGTGTCCTCAGTAGCTGCTGGGGAGGAAAATCCACCTGCACCAAGTGGGATCCTGACAAAGGGAAGGGATGGAGTGACCCAGGTGCACTCAAAGATTGGTTTTCTAGCATTGCGCAGTGCAAGGAAGAAATGCCATCAGGAGCCAAAGAGGGCCAGTGTGTGCATGTAAGGTGAGGTGTAATCAAAGTGGAGCTAGCAAAAGGTTGTAGTAGCAAACTAAAAGTCATTCTGTCATACATAAAATAATAGTGCATTGATTAGCAGCTGTCTGGGTTTGGAGGTAATTTTAGGCAGTATTTTAGCCCAAAGTCTTGCTGCTGAGTGGTATTTAGGCTGATGGTGGCCGGGGCTGCCTTGCTCACCAGGAGCAGTCGATCAGGGGCACCATCCACTGCCAAAGGTGAGCCCCAAACTACCAGGGAACCAAGGCAAAATTTTCCTTTCTTTTTCAATTTGCTGGCAGGATTGAGTTGATTCAGTGTCTGAGGCAGCCTGTGTGGAGCAGAGCACAGCCACTTCCCGAGGCTCAGCTGCTCCTCACTCCTCTTGTGCCGAGACATCCCAATGACGCAGATACCCCAGGGCTGGCTCATTTCTGACTTGTGGCATAAACAGAGCCTGTCCTGGGTCCTCCTGCAAATGAAAAACCTGGCTGTGAGCTAATTCTGCTTGTCACTGTTAATTCTTCTGTTCTCCTTCCTCCCTAGCACCGGCGCTGGCCCCACAGAACATCCAAGTCCACTCCCTTTCCGCGAGCCAGCTGGAGCTCACCTGGGACCCCCCTCCTGCCGACAGCCAGAACGGGAACATCCAAGGCTACAAGGCAATCCTCCCATTTCTACTGTTTTCATTTATCTTCCTTGGCATTGCTATTTACTTGTGAGAGCTCTACGAAGTGCAGTCGCCCTTGCCGCATAAGGCAAATTAGAGCAGTGCTCAGGCTGCAGCAGGGAACAGCAGCAAGTCCCAAAACCAAAAGAAAGAGAATGAGATTGGGAGGGAGGAGGAGAGAAAAGGGAGAGTGTGTCATTATTTATGGAGAAGGAGAGCATGGGGGAAACAGGGGATGCAGATAAGGAGGCAGCTTCACTTATGCAGGCAACAGATCAGCTACAAAAAGCAACACAGCTACACAAGAGCTGGGGGCAAGAAATGTATTGAAGAAAATTAACCGAGCTTTCCCTCCATCAAATGCTACAAAAGCCTTTAGGAAGAGCAGAACTTTCTACCAGCCAGAAGCCTAAGCCAGGTCAGATTTTGGAAGCGTTGCTTCATTTCCTTAACTTTAACAGAATTAAATCAGAGTATTAATTGCGTTTGGTTTGCAGGAGATGAGCACGTTGCAGAGACACACTGCTCAGCATCTCCAGCATGAGAATGGACCCTCAGAGAGTGGGAATGGGCAAGTCTACAAACACTGGAGCTTGGCTTGGGTTCAGTGTCTGGCTCTGCCTCTCTCCATGAATTTAGATCCATAAGTGAAGGAAAGCCAAGCCAATGTGAATAATCTGGCATCCCTTCTTGGCAGTAACAAGCATCCTTATATATCAATCCCTGTCCTTTCCGTTTTGTATGTATATAGATGGCTTCAGCAGCTTGGCTTGGAGAGCCAAGGTGGAGTCTTGCCTTGGCTTGTTCTCTCAGCTCTCTGGCTTGCTTTGGCCTGTTGTAATGCTCTCACTGCCAGGCCTGTCCAATAAGTAGGGCTGGCACCAATTTCCCGCTTGGAAACAACTTCTCTGAAGACTAATTTTATAGCATCAGGGTAAAAATTATGTAATGGAAGAAAGGGGAAAAGCACCTCAAGGATCTTTAGGGGGAATCTTTGTTATCCTCTTCAGGAGGGCATTTTTCTGGCTGTGCTGTGAACACCAGTGGTGTGAGTGCTGTATGATGCAGAGGGGAGTTAGGGACCATCAGGGTGTGTCAGCATGCCAGTGCTGACAGGCAGCTTGCATTGCAGGGAGTGTTTAAACCGACCTCTCCTCAGTGAACCCTGGCAGCTCATACCTGCTGTCATTAAGCCATATTCTTCAGCCTTTGCTCTATTTTTGAGTGATGTACTCAGCTATGTGGTCACTGGATTCAGAGGAATTTGCTAAGGAAAAGATTTGGCACATGCTGAAAAACCTGGCTATCCCAACAGAGGAGTCCAGAGCAAGACTACACTGTCTTTCTGGTTGTTTTGTAGCTGCAGTGGCCAAATATTTTCTAGGTGTAGGATATAGTACAACACATGACAGGATGAAGGGAATGCCCTCCAGTTGTGCCAGAGGAGGTTCCAATTAGATATTAGGAAGAATATCCTCACAGATATCTTGGTCAGCATGGGAGCAGGCTGCCCAGGGAGGTGTTGAATCACCAAGCCTTGAAGTGTTCTGAAGGCGAGTGGATGTGGGACTTGGGAACATGGTTTAGTGCAAACCTGGGGGCTGATAGTTGGACTCATGATCTTAGCAGACTTTTCCAGCCTTAATTGTTGCAGTTGGTTTGAGGGTTCCCGGGGAGTCCCCAGGGGCCCCCTAAGCTGTATTTGGGTGGTAGCAGCAAGCAGGCAAGGAGACTCCACACAGCTTCTGAGGGTGAATTAGATGAGGGTTTATTGGGGTCCCAACCCCGGGAGCAGCATGGTTACTGAGGGAGAATGGGGAAAGGGGAGAGAGGCAGAGCCTAGGGAGAAAAGGGCCAAGAAGATCTGGTCTCCCTGGCACCGCTTAACAGGGAGATTCAAAGTGGGCACGGAAAAAGACTTGGGCCAATGGGATTATAGATCCATGATACTTCAGGGGAGGATCACAGGCTTCGAATAAACCATACATTTTTGAGGGGTGAGACAGAGCAAACCATTTAAATAAACTGTAACACCACACTTAATAATGCTAGGATCCTGTCTCACTGTCCCAACAGATTTATTACTGGGAGAGCGACACCCTGAACGACACGGAGAAGGTGAAGGTGCTT